TGCTTTTAAAAGCACCGCGCCTTTCACAACCAACACCCCCCCCCGCGGCGCGGGGGGGGGGGGTAATTTGGGTATTTGGGATCCAACGTGTCTTAAAGTTGCTAAGGTTGAGAAACACTGATTTATTTCATCAATTTAAAGGCAATCAGACTCTCAATGACTCTAGGCAGGTTAAAAAGCAAGAACAATCGGTTAAAAGAAAAAGAATTCATAACCAGCCCAAAGACAGTCTTATCAACAAGCAACCCGTCCAACAGGGCTCAGCCATCACCTTGCCCAAGGCCTGGGAGAACAACCTGGTCTTCGCTTGCTTCCTGTACTACATCAGGATGGGAGCCATCTGGATCTCCGGGGGGAGATCATTCCAGAGGGCTGGAGCCGTGATAGCGTAAGGGAGAAGTCAACATATTTATTTTGTTGGGGAGGCAGGGTTGGACTAGAAGGCCTCCAAGGTCCCTTCCAACCTTATGATTCTATGATTTATTATACAGATGTAGAAGGCTGCCCGTCTTCATCAAAGAACTCCAGGTGATTGACAGGCATAAAGACAGAAGCCTACGTATAAAAGCAGTAGGAAAAAACCATAAAGGACATCAGGTAAAAAAAAATAATAAAAGTTCACCATCAGCACAGGGCAAGCATACAAACTGGGCTCCACCAACATCCTGACCCTAAAACCTGAGGGACTGCAATTGCACCAAGTGAATTTATGCTAGATTTATCCCTGTTTTTCAGAAGGAAGCTTCGGGTCAAGACAGCCTATGGGAGGAGGAGAACATCTTGCCCCCCAGGCAAAAGAAGGAAGAAAGGAAGGAAGGAGGGAGGGAGGGAGGGAGGGGACTTGTGGAAGGCAGATCAATCAGAAAGGCAAGCAGGGGATCTTTCTGCTCTCTGGAAAATCCCAGATTTGAGGAACCAGGAGTGAGGAAAGCTCTCTGCTTGCACGGCCTTCCATCTCAAGCCGTGCCTTCCCCTCGTTTCCAGCAAGATGTGGAGCTGAACTCTGCTAAGGCCATCCCACGTCAATGCCAAGAATTTTTTTAAACCCAGCCCTCCTGACCCGGCAGCACCGAGGGCTTATCTGTGGATCATGCTGTCTCCCCGGCTGACATAACCTAATTCCCCCTGGGCCAGAAAACTGCTGGTCCTCCCTTGCCTTCCCATCCCACCGGAGAGGAAAACGGTGGCGCTGGAAACCAGTGCCTCATCTTCGACAGATATGAGACGGGCCGGGCATCTTTCAGAGGACCCCCTTGGCCATTTTTATTCCCTTTGCCAGCAAAAACAGCCTCAGCCCAGCCCAGAGTGAAAACTAAACGGGTCCAACTGAGAAACAAGGAAGGGAATATCTGTAGGCTCGGGGGAACGCTGAGCCACGAGAAAACGCCAAACTGGCTGGGGTGGGAGAAGGGGAAAAAGAGAGAACGCACGGCCTCTGTGAGGGCCACGAACCGGAAGTGGCCTTTCCCAACAGGCACGTTTCAGAAATGTTGGCACTGCAACTCTTACGAATCCCAGACAGGCTGAGCAGGGTGGGCTTGCGAAAGAAGGCAGGATCGCTGGCTGAGAACTGGGATGGAAGCCCTACTCTGGTTGGGAGAGAACTACATTTTTATTGCAGGACCCACTTGTCTAGAAAGCAATGCCTTCTCCCCCTTGGAAAACTGGTCATCACAGGGAGAGAGGAGGTTTAACTCCACACTCCGACATGCATCGACACCGAGGCTAACCAATACGAACGATGGGCTATACTCAACTGATCAGACACACCAATATTTATATGCACAGGGCCCAGAGGAAGAAGCTGTTTTTCAAAGTGAACCTTGAAGCCGAGCAAAGCCAGATTTGGAAGAAAGCAACCTGCATTCCCTCCCACCCCGACAAAAAAAAGCATGCTTTGGGAATTGAGTTTTTATTCCTTCCTGCTTTCCAGCAAGTCCAGAATATGAATCAGTGTTGAAAAACTTATCTTGGTTTGGACGCAAAGGAAAAAGGGGTAAGCGAGGCACCAGTAGGAAAAGGATTCAACAAAAAAAATTAAGGCGGAGGGGGGCGGGGGGAGAGAGTGAAATTGATGGCCTCGACTGCAATGAGTCATAAGAAAGAAAAAAAAACTCAAAGTATCTGGAACAGTTTTTATACATTTTTGGTTGCCTGGGCAACAGGAATCTGTTCTCTTGAAGTCCTGAGAAGATCCAGTTGTGCAAATCAAACACACACAATTAAGTTTGCAGCATTTACATTTCTTGAAAGCTGAAAACGGGCTTCAAATGTTGTCCTAGCCCCATGTTTTGGGTTACCTGCGAGGGTCGCTTAGCCAGAACAAATCACTTAGCTCACCCCAACGTGTTTTGGGATGGGATGCCTCAGACTAGGAGGATAAATATTTCCCCACACAAACTGGGGGGGTGCCCATGAGGAACCAGGAAAGGAGGGGCGCCTTGCCTGGCAACAGTTCAGCGGGCACATCACGCAGCTTTATCCGAAAGGGGGACCCTGGGCTGTGTACCTGGGAATCAAAGTGCTCCAGGACCAACCGCATCTCACCCAGCTGATCAACCTACGTCAGCGCAAACCCAGGGCAGGAGCGGAGCACGATTCAGAGGCTGGCAACAGCCCTCCTGGGGTGATGGCTCCCATCCCATACTTTTGTAAAATTAAAAGTTCTGTCTGGCTGGACAGGCCTTGATTCTTTAAAGAACCCCCCAAGCCCCATTTGCAGGAGACTGTAGAGCAAAAGGAAGAATCTGGTTTCGTTTGCTTGGGGGATTATTCAAAAGCACCTCCAGAAGCGAGAGAAGGTGCAGCTACAGATGGTTCAGATCAACAGGAGTGGGAAGAGTGTCGGGAGAGGAGGCCTGGAAGCCAAGAGAGACCCGGTTTCTGCATGCAAAGGGCCTTGGCTCAACCCAGGGACCTCTAATTAGGCTTGACAAAACCTCCCCCGTGAGTCAGACTGACCTAGTTGGGACCGATGGCCGAGCCCACTAGGAGACCCTTCTTGACGCTGCTAGATCCCAGGAATGCTGCAGAAACACGCTTGACTTTCCAGGAAAGTATGTCCAAAACATTTATCACATGCCCTCCTCCGATTCCAAAAAGGACTTAAAAAACAAACAAAAAAAACCAGACTGACAGGCAAAGAGCGAGGAAGGAAGGGAGGGAGGGAGGGAGGGAAAGGAAAAGCAGAAAGAGAGGAAGGAAGGAAGGA